CGAGTCGCTTTGGCACGAGTCTTCCCCCGCTAGCCCCCCAGCAGCCACCATCGTGTTGTCGACTTTGCTCGGTTTCAATGCAGCCGCGGCCTTGGCGTTGTCCCACGTCTTGACGCTGACCTCCTTGAGCACTTGCGACTGGGGACCACTGGACGAGATGGTGCCCCACCCGCGGACCCACGTGAGCACATTCGCAGGAACAGCCTCAAAAGACACCGTCACAGGCGTGATAGTTGTGACATTGCGGTCCAAGAGGAGGATGGCCACGTCGTTCGAGTGCGTCGATGCGACGTATTGAGGGTGCGGGATTTCCTTGGTGATTTTGACCGGCACGCCGTCGCTCGACCCAGTCAGAAAGTGCGACCCTACCACCGCATGCGAGAGGCCGTTGCCGGTGCAATGTGCCGCCGTGAGAATGACGTTGGAGGCGATCAGACTGCCTCCGCAGAGGGACCTGGTTGTGGCTGACCTCTTGAGGCCTGCCACGTAGCGGTGCTGGCCAGTGGTTGCTTCATGCCCTCCGACAATTTCGATATAATTGTCGTCTTGGGCGATGGTTGCAACGGCAATGGCGGCGACGACGAGTGCAACTTTCATGATGGAAATTGGAAAATGAATCGGACTGGTCCACGTCGTCTGGAGAGCTATCTAGTTCCATGTACTGTATGTGATGCCTGCTGCTACAATCGTTATCAGACCAATCATTATCAGACTGGGTTGGAACCCAAGCAGCCCTGTGATTCCCTGAGAGGTACAGTTCCATTGTTGCTTATGGCACATTTCCCTTGTTCTCATTATGTGATAGTCAAATGCAGTGTAAACCAAAACAACGCATTTCAAGGGTTACGAGCATTTCAGTGGTTCGCGATAGCCAACCACTGGTGATGCAACTCAACCCCAGGAATAGCCACACAAGGGGTCTGGGTTTTTTAGGTTACAGGGCTACAGCACTGCACTGGTTCTTTTGAAGAGAAATGATTCCATAAACAACAGTAGGGCCACATGTATTCCTCTGAGGGAATTCTCCACACAGTCAAGCTACCGGTACTACAGTAGTACTACGTAGTAACATACTACTCGAGTACTTCGAAGTACTACAGTACGTAGAAGTAGTGTGCAACTACTGTAATGTCATCCGTGTCATAAATATCCAACAGCTTGCGAACAATTCCCACTCTGAGTCTGGATTTTTCACTTGTATCCGACCAAAAAAAGTGGTGTAATGACATATGGCATGTGTCTTTCCAATCATGTGTTTATGAAACGGTGCCTCCTGAGGGAATTATGGCCAATGAGGAGGAAGCCTATTCGACTTCAAATCATATGGGTATTGTTTACAGTACAGTTACGGCGACGTTCAAGTTTCTCTAATTTCTACTACGTAGTATTAATAGTACGAGTATCTAGTAGTATTAATAGTACGAGTAACGTTATCTAGTAAGTGGGACATGTAAATAGATGTGAAGAGGCCGGTACTGAATATGATGTGTTGTGGTACATGTAACGTTGCTAATGAAAGTATAAGTCCACTGGCGCAGTGGTTTAGATACAGTGTACCTCACTTTGAACGTAGAGGTTTCGGGTTCAATTCCCATGCACCACCTCGCTTTTTTCTTCATTTCCAATGTGCCCCTCGAACAACAACGATGTACCGGTACTACTCAATACTAACGTTAGTACAGTTCCAGTACAACGCAAATGAATCGACACTGAGTTCGTCGAGTACTGTACTACGCACTAGTAGGCGATATTGCCATTGATACTTGGAAGTATTACGCTGTAAAGTTAACATCGCTCAGCGGGCACTTAATGGCCTCACGTATGTATTAGGTGACCTACTAGTACTACGTAGTACTACCTCTGGTAGGTATTAAGTGCAGGCGGTGACAAAAATTAGTGTTCCAGTTATCCGATTGGCCTAAAACTTAGTGGTGCGTGTTCGTTTCATTGAGGTGATTCTGATCATATTTTTTGCTGAATTATATGACCACATTCGCACTTGCTACGACTCCAAGTCTGCTCGCAATACAAATTCCAAATCAAATTTGACGAACTACAAGCGCATGGCGCTGTACCAAGAGCTTCAGCAAGTAAGCACAAATGGGGCACATTGCTGTCGACGATGCCTTGTTAGTTCAAGCGGCAACTGAGGGTGGTTGGAGCATCCAGCTAATGTGCCAACCAGGTCTAGAACGTTCAGGTCCGGCGACTGAGGACCTGAATGTTCTACCTAAACCTGGTTGGCACAATAGAGTTGAAGAAGCCCAGGTCTAGAACGTTCAAGAGAGGACCTGAACGTTCTAGACCTGGGCTTGTTCAACTCTAACGTTATTCAGTCACTGTAGCAGTAAATTGAAATGTCGGTCCACAGAGGACCTGAATCGTTCAATTGTCTGCCATCATTGACTTTGGAGAAGACGTTTTGAACCTGGCGACGGGTAATGCATGCGATTGTTGGGGTTAATGGCGAAAACAGCTACAAGATCCCTCGGAGCGATGTGACTGAGGATGACGCGATTTCATTGGAATTGATGGATACGCGCCTGGAAGCAGAGGGTCGCATGAGCGCATGGGCGACGCCTGTGACCTGATGCAGGTCATGGTAGTAGTGAAAGGGGTGGGTTCTGACTCGACACTAACTAGGCTTCCTGGTGTCGATGCCAAGGACCTGAGGAAACCTGGGACTAAGCCAGCGACCATCGGTAAGTTCTTGTCCTACTTGGATCAGGTGTAAAGTGATCTGTAAGTAGACGCGCTCCCAACTGAGCCAAAAGAACAGGTCAGTCTGGACACGAGATTGTACTACGAGAATGAGTACTCTCGACTGTAGTGTAAACTTTTTAAATACAGATTCGTTTTACTTGGTTTTTGTATTGCATTGAATGTTTGCCTGCACTTATTACCTACCAGAGGTAGTACATGTTTCACTAACAGTT